GTGGTTAAGACACGGTGACTCTTTTTTAGGTCTCTTGCTAAGTTTTTTAATTTGGGGTATACATTTAAGTTGGGCCTCTATTATGGTGTCTTTAAAAAGTTTCCATGCAGCTTTCAGGGATTTGGCTCTAGTCACTGTGCCTTTTAATTTCTGTTTAACTAACCTCCTCATTTTTGCGTAATTCCCCTTTTTGAAATTAAATGCCAGGGTGCTAGACTGCTGAGGTGTTCTTCCCACCACAGCAATGTTGAATGTTATTATATTATGGTCACTATTCCCAAGCAGTCCTGTAACGGTTATATCCTGTACCTGATCCTGCACTCCACTCAGGACTAAATCGAGAATTGCCTCTCCCCTTGTGGGTTCCTGCACTAGCTGCTCCAAGAAGCAGTCATTTAAGCCATTGAGAAATTTTATCTCCGCTTCTCTTCCTGAGGTGACATGTATCCAGTCAATATGGGGGTAATTAAAATCCCCCATTATCATAGAGTTCTTTATTTTTGTAGCCTCTCTAATCTCCCTCAGCATTTCTATGTCAGTATCGCTGTCCTGGTCAGGTGGTCGGTAATATATCCCTACTGCTAATTTCTTATTATTGGAGCATGGAATTTCTATCCATAGCGATTCTATGGAACATGTTGATTCACTTAATATTTTTATTTCATTTGATTCTAATCTTGAAATCTGGCTACAAGGGAGAATATTGCACTTCTTGTTTTCAAGTCAGAGTTATCTGAAGGATTGGATTATTGGCCCTGTTCCTGTGAGTTGCTAAGCTCCTTAAGCAAGATGCTGGGCTCCCACAATGTCTAATAAAGTAAAAAAACTAATGCCACCAACATGCTCAGAGCTGTGCAGACAAATATAACAACAGAGTTTGTCCCCCAAAAAATTAACAGTCAAATTCAAGTATCATTATTAAATTCAAATGCACATAAAGCATGGGGAAGAATCATTGACATGAATAATGCAAATGTCTTTGGAGAGAGCAGTGTTTGAAGAGCTTTGCTGAAGAAGTTGTGCTTTCAGAAGGAAATGTAAAAGGAGCTCACTTGGGGCTTGTCTACACTGGGGAGTTATTTTGAAATAACTTCCCTTATTTTGAAATAACAAGGGGAACATCCACACTACCAAGCCTGTTATTTCGAAATAATAGGCTTGTTATTTCAAAATAATTCCTGCTTGTGAAGAGGAATATGCTTATTTTGAAATAGTTATTTTGGAAGTTTAATTTATTTTGAAATAACCTGGTAGTGCAGACATAGCATTGGTGAACAAGAGGAGGAAGAGAGGATGCTTTAAGCATAGGAGATAGAAAAAAAAAGTGACAAGTTTTTAAAGTGCTTATATACAAAGTCTAAAAAATAAGATGGGTGAACTAGAGTGCCTTGTGTTAAAGGAGGAGATTGACATAATAGGCATCACAGAAACCTGGTGGAGTGAGGACAATCAAAGGGACACAATCATTCGGGGGTACAAAATATATCAGAAGGACAGAACTGGTCGTACGGGTGGGGAAGTGGCACTATATGTGAAAGAAAATTTAGAATCAAATAAAGTAAAAAACTTAAACGAATCATCATGTTCCATAGAATCGCTATGGATAGTAATTCCCTGCTCTAATAAGAATATAACAGTAGGGATCTATTATCGACCACCTGACCAGGACAGTAATAGTGACTATGAAATGCTAAGGGAGGTTAGAGAGGCTATCAAAATAAAGAGCTCAGTAATAGTGGGGGATTTCAACTATCCCCATATTGACTGGGTACACATCACCTCAGGACGAGATGCAGAGACAAAATTTCTTGATACCTTAAATGACTGCTTCTTGGAGCAGCTGGTACAGCAACCCACAAGGGGAGAGGTAATTCTCAATTTAGTCCTGAGTGGCACGCAGGACTGCTTGGAAATAGTGACCATAATATAATAACATTTAACATTCCTGTGGTGGGAAGAACACCTCAGCAGCCAAACACTATGGCATTTAATTTCAAAAAGGGGAACTATGCAAAAATGAGGAGGTTAGTTAAAAAAAAATTAAAAGGTACAGTGACTACAGTAAAATCCCTGCAAGCTACATGGACACTTTTCAAAGACACCATAATAGAGGCCCAACGTAAATGTATACCTAAATTGAAAAACATAGAACTAAAAAAGAGCCACCGTGGCTTAACCACCATGTAAAAGAAGCAGTGAGAGATAAAAAGACATCTTTTAAAAAGTGGAAGTCAAATCCTAGTGAGGTAAATAGTAAGGAGCATAAACACTGCCAAATTAAGTGTAAAAATATAATAAGAAAAGCTAAAAAGGAGTTCGAAGAAGCAGGAAGCCTGCTAAGCCTGCTAAGCAACCAGTGAGGCCCCTGGACTATCTAGATACAAAAGGAGCACTTAAAGACGATAAAGTCATTATGGAGAAACTAAATTAATTATTTGCTTCAGTGTTCACGGCTGAAGATGTTACGGCTCGTGGAATGAGGAGTAACGGTAGTTCTGACTAGGAAGCCTAGTCTGAACGACCTAGTTCATGCTGCGTGTAGCCGCGCGGCACGGGGTTCGAACGAGCAGGGATTTAAAAATGGCGACGCCCAGTTTATGCAAATGAAGCCCGGGAAATTCAAATCCCGGGCTTCATTTGCAAGTGCGGTATGCCTACATTATCCCGCTAGTTCGAATTAGCGGGGTAGTGTAGACATACCCTTAGAGTTCTTTGAAGGGGTTAACAAACATGTGGAAAAGGGGGATCCAGTAGATATAGTGTAGTTAGATTTCCAGAAGGCCTTTGACAAGGTCCCTCACCAAAGGCTCTTGCGTAAAATAAGTTGTCATGGGATAAGAGGGAAGATCCTTTCATGGATTGAGAACTGGTTAAAAGACAAGAAACAAAGGGTAGGAATAAATGGTAAATTTTCAGAATGGAGAGAGGTAACTAGTGGTGTTACCCAAGGGTCAGTCCTAGGACCAATCCTATTCAACATATTCACAAATGATCTGGAAAAGGGGGTAAACAGTGAGGTGGCAAAGTTTGCAGATGATACTAAACTGCTCAAGGTAGTTAAGACCAAAGCAGACTCTGAAGAACTTCAAAAAGATCTCACCAAACTAAGTGATTGGGCAACAAAATGGCAAATGAAATTTAATGTGGATAAATGTAATCCACATTGGGAAAAATAACCCCAACTATACATATAATATGATGGGGGCTAATTTAGCTACAACTAATCAGGAAAGAGATCTTAGAGTCATTGTGGATAGTTCTTTGAAGACATCCACGCAGTGTGCAGCGGCAGTCAAAAAAGCAAATAGGATATTAGGAATCATTAAAAAAGGGATAGAAAATATGACCTTATATAAAACCGTGGTACATCCACATCTGGAATACCGCGTACAGATGTGGTCTCCTCATATCAAAAAAGATATACTGGCATTGGAAGAGGTTCAGAGAAGGGCAACTAGAATGATTAGGGGTTTGGAATGGGTCCCATATGAGGAGAGATTAAAGAGACTGGGACTTTTCAGCTTGGAAAAGAGGAGACTAAGGGGGGATATGATAGAGGTATATAAAATCATGAGTGGTGTGGAGAAAGTGAATAAGGAAAAGTTATTTACTTGTTCCCATAATATAAGAACTAGGGCCCACCAAATGAAATTAATGGGCAACAGGTCTAAAACAAATAAAAGGAGGTTCTACACACAGCGCATAGTCAATCTGTGGAACTCCTTGCCTGAGGGGGCTGTGAAGGCTAGGACTATAACAGGGTTTAAATGAGAACTAGATCTATTCATGGAGGTTAAGTCCATAAGTATCTATTAGCCAGTATGGGTAAGGAATGGTGTCCCCAGCCTCTGTTTGTCAGAGGGTGGAAATGGATGTTCAGGAGAGAGATCACTTGATCATCACCTGTTCGATTCACTCCCTCTTGGGCACCTGGCATTGGCCACTGTCGGCAGACAGGGTCCTGGGCTGGATGGACCTTTGGTCTGACCCAGTGTTGTACCAATTAAAGCAAGCAGGATCTTATGAGGGGGATAAGGCAAAAAGCCACATTTATTGTAAAGATAATAATAAAAAAATAAAGAAAAGATAGAAGCAAACAACGTTGTTTAACTACTTAACCCTTATACATATAAACATTCATTCATCCATTCATTCAGGTTCTGTGTATTTGTTATAGTTACCAGCCTGGAAGTTGCTTGTGACAGAATACTGGCCAGGTATTCTGTACACAAGTGATGGTAGTGGGGAGCGAAGTCCTGATCAGATGCGCATCTGAAGCTCCTGGTAGGCTGGCAGCAGAACCTTGGACTCTGATTCCATAGTTTTTTAGTCCAGTTCTTATAGGAATTTCTTCCTATGCCAGTCTATGGAAATTGCTGTATCATGCTGATGTCTCCAGGGTGGCTGCCAGGTGCTCATCAGTGATCTCATCGGGTGGACCTCCAGTTTCTCCACTTGACACCTTTTGGTTGCACTGGCACCTGACGCCTTCTTCAGCCCTTTGTTGCTGTATTCTCAGGCTGGCACCTCTCAGAACCATTCACTCATCATCCAAGCACTCTCTCATACATTCATACAGTATTTTGTATAATAATAAAAGTTGTAGTTACAGAAAGTTTCTGGGTGGTATTGCTTAAAACATTCTCTGAGTGCTGAATAAAGTTACAATGTTTTAAAGAGAACAGGCCTCAATTAAGTAACAATGGCCTTAGTCAATTACAGGGCTTGGCTCCCATAGCAGAGTTAGTGGCTTGACAATGCATTGTTACAATGTATCTCTGCAATGTCAATTTCAAGCAGCCCCTTGCACAAGCTTGAGCATGCCCTGGAGCACAGAGGGGGGGGGGGGGGACTGTTTCTGGTTACATAGGATTATATTCTTAACAGTTCTAAGTTACATGACCTAATACATTATATTCTAAAGGGGCAATAATAATAATAAATCTAAACATTTAACAATCTTAACAAATAATAATAATAATAAGAAGAATTAATAAAAAATGTAAACACTTTAAGTTGTGGGGAACAAATTATGGGGAGTCACTTCCATTTGGGGGAATCATTTTCAGTACATGAATATGTTATCGCTACACCAGTATAGCCATTCTTATGTTCTTATGTAATGGATGAGAGCTAGAAACTGTGGTCCGGCAGATCAGGGAGCCCCAGCAACTGGGAGCATGGGCCAGCAGCACAGGGACTGGTGGCCAGAAGCAGAGCCGGGCCAATGGTCGGGAGCCCGGCTGATGCCAACAGCGTGGGGATAGGCAACCAAGTTGGAGCCGAGAGTGGAACTTGGCTGGCAGCCCTAGGGTCAGGGAGCAAGACTGGGGTCAGCAGTCGTCTCAGTGACCAGGAGGGGAACCCAGCCAGGAGGCTGCCCTCTCCCCGAGAGCTCGAGGTCAGCAGCAGAAGGGATGTAATTGACTCTGCCCTAGTCCAGCAAACTCCTTCATTTGAGACAGGTCCTGAGAGTGGAGGACGAGGGAGATAAAACCTGTACAATGTTGCGCATTACATTGCCGAACAATGAAGAACTTTAATCTGTAATACTATATTATGGGGATTGGGATTAAGTTTATTTGGACTCCTCTGATATGTGCTAAGATTTTTGGCTGTCTCCATCTGTTCCTGTTGCTATTTAAGCCCTCATCTGTACAATAATAAATAAATAAACTGATTACTCTTAGAGAAATTAGTAGATTCAGTTAATAGGCTATTATATCATTCTGTATCTAAAAAAAATTCAAGGATTTATGACTCATTAACAGAAGTAAATGTTAACTTCATTTAATATTATCATATGAGTCTGGTGAAATTTATTTTCAAATCAAATTACAAGTCTGTCCAGTACATCTGTTTAGATACAGGTTCACTTCCATAATTCTTTGATTGCACTTTTGAGATCTAAAATGGCAGAAGACATATTTCTCCTCTTTCTGAGGGAAACACCATTATTCACAATCAGCCCTTAATGTTTAATAGATAATGAATTTTCCTAAAGTCTTGAAAATAAAAACCACTAAAACAGTCTGCCTTGGGTGAAATTTGTAGACGAGACAGACTGAGAAAAATATTTTGTAAGGCTGGCATAAGGAACAACATAACAAAACCCCATAAACAATGTTGGAAATCTCGGAAAGTTTGCGCACTTAACATTAGGGGGCAAATATGTATCCTTATATTAAGGTAAATCCGGCACTGACAAAAATGAGAGGTACTGTACACATCATACCAAATGAACGAAAATCAAATCAAATAAAAATATTTAAACAATTTGTTTTACAGATTTTAGTGAACATGGTGACATGCCCTTATTCAGCAAAGAGTATGTGCCTAACTTAGTCCCATTGAAAACAATAGGATTAAAGCATGTACTTAAGCAGAAGGTTAATTACTTCGCTGAATAGAAATGAGACCACCTTTTTAAGAGCTTTGCTTAATGGAGCCTGAGATGATTTTTAACCAAATGCCTATGAATGCAGTAACATTTATTTTATTAACAAAAGATACAAGTATTTGAATCTCTTGTTCAGCCAATATGATTTTTGGAGTCTTTCTTATAAACTGTACTTTTATATGGTTGTTGATTTACATTGTTTTTTCTGTACTGCTGACGTGTATCTGTTTCAGTTTGTGGCTGGCTTCTGCAACAGGGTGTAGAATGCTTTTAAATGGTGAGGCGCTGAAAGGCTTAATCTCTCGTACACACCTCATCAAAAATTACCTTTATTTTGACATGTTTATAGGAATCGTCAGTTGGAAGGTATCTTAGTGGTAGCACAGCAATTCCATGAAACTTTAGAACCCCTGGTTGAGTGGCTGACCACCACTGAGAAAAGACTTGCAAATTCAGAACCCATTGGAACACAAGCTTCTAAACTGCAGCAGCAGATTTCTCAGCATAAAGTAAGATATAAACCAAACATTTGTGTCATTCATTTGAGGAAACTTTTATGTGAATTTGTAAAATACAACTGATCTGAGATATCTGTTTTTTTTTCTTTTAGTCCAAATTTGATGCATTTTTATTTATAATTCACAATTAAGCCATTATATTTCTGTTCTATGGTTCTTTTGTGTTTGTCCATTTTTCTTTTCTGTCTTTCTTCATTGTTTTAAAAACCTTCATTTAGGTGTTAGAAGATGACATCCTTACTCACAATAAAAGTTTATATATGGCCATTAACATTGGTCAGTCTCTTAAGAATATGAGCTCCAAAGAGGATAAAGATATGGTGCAGGAAAAGCTAGATTCTTCCCAAGCCCGTTACATTGAGATTCAAGAGAAGAGTAACAGCAGGTCTGAGCTGCTCCAGCAAGCCTATTGCAATGCCCAGATTTTTGGGGAAGATGAAGTTGAATTGATGAACTGGCTGACTGAAGTGCATGACAAACTGAGCAAACTTTCAGTACAAGATTACAGCACAGACTCACTCATGAAACAACACACTGACCTGCTGGTATTTTTATTTCTTTTCTGTTAAATTCATTTATTTTTTTCTTTATTTTTACTTTATTTTTATTTGTACCATATATTTATTTCTCATTAATAAATTTGAAAGGTGATACATCTATTTAAAATTAAAAAAATTTGATCTGTAGGTGCTTCAGGAAGAGATTCTGCTCAGAAAACAAAATGTTGATCAGGCTATACAAAATGGATTAGAGCTTCTCAAACAAACAACAGGTGAGAACATTTAGGAAATTAATGATTCAGCAGCCGTTTTCCTTATACTTGTTAGTGATTATGGGAAACATAACCTGAAGCTTGTAAATATTAGCCTTTATTCACTGGCTAGAGTTGATTTGTTTGTTTATTATAATAACTATTGAAGTCACGATATGTTATGTCTTTAGGACAAATTCTCTGCTGCTGTAAGTGAGCATTGAAGTCAATGGAGCTGCACTCATTTTGCTACACAGAGAATATTGCCCTTGATTTTTATTGTTTTTGGTGGGGAAGGGTTTAATGGAAAATTATTTGAGTGAACCTTACTTTTGTTCCTACTATCAAGCTATATACATTACTCATAATGTAGGTCTATTTGTCACAGGACATAGCCTTTTGTCTATGGAAGCTCCCAAAATAAGAGTTTTAGGCCTTTTTCTGTTAGAGAGGCTGCATAATTCAGATCATAGGGAAAGTTGCATCCCAGTTGCACACAACATATCTGGTCTGCCCAGGAACATCTATCTAAATCAGTGCTGGACAATCTGTGGCCCATCAGGTTTCTATGTGTGGTCCACAAGACATTTTGTTTACTGTTGCCTATGATTACATGGATTTCCACCTTTATAGTTTTTTCTATTAAGTGACATGGATGTAAAGCAAGGGCACATGAAGTAAGGTGCGTGCTGATTGCATTTAATACTGACTGTGAGAACCAGTAGTAAAATTACCCTATCCTAGGAGACCATCTTGGTTACAATAATCTTGTGGTCCACTGAGATGGAGGGCTATGCACATGGGCCACTTAGTAGCCTGGGTTGCCTATCATTGATGTAAATCTTCCAGTGCTCCAAGTATGTGAATTCTGAAAGACATGGAGAGAAAGCCCTCCTCAGTCACACAGTTAGAAATTATATTATGGGATGAAATCTAAATAGATTACAAGAAGTCTATTACAGGTGTCTCTGCTTGCATTTTAATCTTTCAGTTCTCTCTGTGTGTGTAGTGATTAATAATTAGATTGTATTGATTGAAAGAATTATTCAGATTATTCTTTGAGCTAGACAGTCTAGTAATCAATTCATTATAATCCATACATAAATTGTAAATTAATAATTTAAATACCATTTGGCATTTTATGATTCCATTCTTTTACTTTTATTGATATACAGGCAGTCCCCAGGTTACGTACAAGATAGGGATTGTAGGTTTGTTCTTAAATTGAATTTGTATGTAAGTCGGAACTGGTACATATTGTAGGGGAAACTCTAGCCAAACATTTCTCCAGAGCTCAGTTTTATTCTCCCACACCTCACTTCCCTCAGTCCTTTATTCTCAAGCTGAGGTGTCTGCTGAGAAAAGCCGCTCTGCGTCTCTCTGGTCTGCTGGGGGGGGAGGAGGGAGGGGCGCTAGCTTCGCATCTCCCTGGTCTGCTGGGGGGAAGCAGCTAGTGCGGGGTTGCCTCACCCCGTTTGTAAGTAGGGATCCGATGTAAATCGGATCCATGTAACCCGGGGACTGCCTGTATTCATGACGAGGGTCAACCTACATAAAAATGAGAATTTAAGGAGGCTTTTATATAGTCTGTGTTTGGGTAAACATGTATGTAAATTTTAATATTTGCCTTTTAAAGAAAAGAAGAGAGTAAGAACCAATTTTTATATCTCTATTGAATAACACTAGAGATGGGCCCAATTCTCAAACCTTGGGTCCTACTTTCCACTTTTTCAGAATTTGGAGTGGTAAGAGAAAGAGGACAATCCTGAGTTGGTATATATTGTCATAACTCTACTGGACAATTTACACCACCCTATAATCTGTCCCTGGATCTTGTTGGGGTTAATCTGCAAACATATTAGAAACTAAAAATACATTATAATTGAGGGATTTTTGTTTTGCTTTGAGGGTTTTTGTTTGCATTCATGTGAAATAGCTAACATCCTTTTGAAATTTTAGGTGATGAAGTTGTAATAATTCAAGATAAATTGGAAGGCATTAAAGCAAGGTACAAAGATATTACTAAATTGAGTTCTGATGTATCCAAGACTTTAGAGCAAGCTCTGCAGCTTGCAGATCAACTGCAGTCCACTCACGAGGAACTCTGCAAATGGCTTGACAAAGTGGAGGTGGAATTGCTTTCATATGATACTCAGATCCACAAGGGAGACGAATTAAGTGAAGCACAAGAAAAACAAAAAGTATGTTTTAAAAGCTGTAGACTGTATATATTGCTTTGTTTTTTTTTCACGTAAAGATTTGAACTAGTTAAATAAGTTAGCTTCTCTTTGTCTGGAGGATGTCTTGCAAATGATCATAATTTGGCACCAGATCAGCTCTCTGATTAGGATTAAAACAGTAAAGAATCTCAATCTCTTTCTAGCAGCCACTGATGAGATTTGGCTGAAGTTTATTATTTATTAGTGCAACAGGAGAAGAGCTACATTTTGTTCTAGTTCAGTAAGCTGCTGTTCCCTGGGAAAACTCTTAAATTGTCAAACAAAGTTATTTTTGTTCTTTAGTTGTCTCATGGACAAAGAAAAAAAATACCCTTAAAAAACCCCCTGTAAAAGAGCTTTTAATTCAAATGTTTGTTAAAAAATTCACTTGAATTTAGTTAATATTTATTTCACACTGGATTTTACTTATTGGTGAATTTGTCCCATAGAAAGAGGGTTGCAGAAAGCAAAGAATATGTGTTCACTTTCTTCTCTTTGTTTGTTTGATTAAAGACTGACAACTGTATTGAATTCCAAAGAATGGCAGTCTACCATGCAGATTGGGGGAATATATTTCTGTTCTGTTCTGTAGAAACTTCCCTTCAGGAATCACCTGCTTCTCTGTCAAACAACTTAACAATAACAAAGACTAATGTAACTGAGCTGAAAATAAGTGTGCCAGTTTATCCCTTTTGTTTGCCTGGAAAATGTTCCAGTTCTTGCTTCTTAAAGTAGACAGAAGAATAAAAATATGAGCAAGCTGTGCGTGTTTGGCTCTTATGTTGGCATGTTTACTTTAAATGGCCTTTTTCAGGAATTGAAAAAAGAAGCAAAGAACAACAAAGGCTTATTGGACACCCTCAATGAAGTCAGCAGTGCCTTGCTGGAATTGGTGCCGTGGAGGGCAAGAGAGGGGTTAGACAAAATGGTGACTGAGGACAATGAGCGATACAGATTAGTGAGTGACACACTAACTCAGAAGGTGGATGAGATTGATGCTGCCATTTTAAGATCACAGCAGGTACTAAACCACAGTTTTTGTTCTGTGGGCAATTAAAAGTTTGCTTCAAGGAATCTCTACCTGAACAAAGTTTCTTAGTTAACTATGTTGCTACACATTTTTTATGCTCGAGCAACTAAAAGTCTGTTTGAATAGAATGATGGCACTGTTCAGACACAAGTGCTAGAGGAAAGCTAATCTGTACATTGTTGTAACCATCTGCCTCATGGTTGACACAAACCTTAGATATCCATCTTGTAGCCAAAATAATTTGAGCATTATCCTGTGGTGATGTCAGTGGATGTTCTGCCTGAGTCAGAACTACAGGCTCACACCTTATATCATGTACTCTATGCTGTAATATATGCAATATGGCTCAGATCTTCAGCTTGTTTAAATAGATGCAGCTCCACTTATATGAGCTAAGGTTCTGGTCTTGTGCTTTTGTATTTTCTGCCTTTAACATTTTAGACCAAGTTACTTTTAAACTGAGTTAATGGTGTAATTTTTATTCAGCTGCAAGAAATAAGTTGGGGTGTGTGTGTGTGTGTGTGTGTGTGTGTGTGTGTGTGTGTGTGTGTGTGTGTGTGTGTGTGTGTGTGTATTAGGGATGTAAAAGAGTAGTTGATTAGTCAACTACCCAATAAGCTTAGGCTCTATATTAGAGGCAGCAAAGGGCGGGAGCAGGAGTGGGTGCTGGGGGCAGCCATTTTTAAAAGCCGGTTTCCCCCAGCACTGTCTTCACAGTGCCACTCCCCCGCCCCTCTCCCCCGCCATGCTCTCAGAGGCAGCTGCATGGGGGGAAGAGGGAATGCTGCTTCAGCAGCAGCCCCTGTGTGCAGGGTTCTCAGCTCCCCAATGGTGACCCCCTGTCGACAGGGGCTGCTAGACCCAGTATGAGCTGGGACTGAGAAAGCCCGTCTCACTCCCAGCTTGCGCTGGGTCCAGGAGTTACCCCACTGCGGCTCTTCAATTTAAATATAATAGGAGCCATGCTACCTGTGCACCCGACTCTTACTACATTTAAACTGCAGAGCTGCAGTGGGGTTAGTGCCTTCCCTTATCAACCTATTGTGTAGTCAATACAAAATATATCAACTACACAATTACCCAGTTACTCACCTCTAAATATCCTTTGCATGTGTTTGTGTGTGTCTGTGTATTTCTACAGTTTGCTTAGAAAATAATTAGGTGATTTTTAATTGAATGTAAATCTGTGTGTGGTTTCCCATCTAGTTCCCTGATGGTGAGAGAAAAACAGAGCTGCACCTTCTCCAATTTCTGTCTATTTCAAAAACACAAAAATATGAATGGAAATTTTTGCCAGTGCCATACCACCTACAAATAGAATTGACTTCAGCCAAACAGAAAGTATATACAGCATAGTTTGAAAACTTTGTGAAAACTGATTATAGGAGGCCAGGTGGTAGCCGAGGTCCTAAGGTTATAAGTACTTTTTAAATATTCTGACTAATTTATCTCATTCACTGAGAGTAGTTATCATATCTCAGCACACACCTTTATAAAATTGACGGCTGGCTCCCCAAGGGCTTGTGACCTGGGTGTATAGATATGGATTTCTATCAACTTTGTCCCCCTGACTTGTTGGAGGGAGTAGCCAGGGACCTTTGGTACAGTTTAGGTCAGCTTCTTTGATTTTCTAATTTGCACCAGTGGATAGTAGTTCCAAAGGGGCTGCTGTACCAGACAGCATTAAGAGGACAGACAGCACTCCAATTGTGCTCCCTTTTCTTCTACCACACCCAGACCACCTTAGATTACTCCTATTTTAGGAAAGCCAGAAGGGGTGAGTGCCAGGTTAACTATGGTAACTCCAGAAGCAACATGTTGGGAAGGAGGCGGCCTCTTGCTCAGGGGAGCAGCAACTGACAACCACCTGAAGTATTATTTGGGCCGATATCTTAAGAAAGGATGGCTGTAGTCATAACTTAAAAATACTGCAAAGACTTAGAGGTTTTGAAGAGGGTCAAAGGCATAAAAACACATGGGCTGGAGCATAGATACTAAATATAGGGGTGTTCAGTGGTGCTGCCAGGAAGCTGTTCGGTGGCTAGCAGGAGTGACTCAAGACAGGACAGAGAGCAATGAGTGTCAGGCCTGCTGGGAGGCCTCAGAGGAGAGGATGGTGCAGGGGTGGGAAAAGGTGGAGCAAGGTGGGGGCTCCGAGGTCTTTGGGTGGAGGACAGGCAGAGCACCCACTGGGGAAAATAAAAGTCACTGTCTATGGTGAGGATAAGGAGCACTGGTGAGAGGGTAGGATGGACATTTTTGGGGACAAAAGAGCAAGGTGTGGTAAGAGAACGTTCGAAGATGTGAAGGAAGACATATGATATGAATGTCAATTTGGAGATTAATTGTGTAACTAATTAGTCCAAAATCATCCCTAGTATAACACAACAGAAGTCTGCAGATTATTCCAGATCTCATGTCAGCTCCCACTATTGAAGCTGAGATAAGTTCTTCCACTGTTCCTTGGGAGTTCTGTAAAGAAATAGACTATAAAATTGTCCATTTTGCATTCTTTGAGTCCATAAGGAAGGAAAAGGTTATTCTAAAATCTGCTACTCTAGTTATAGACTCATAGACTTAAAGGTCAGAAGGGACCATTTTGATCATCTAGTCTGACCCCCTGCACAATGCAGGCCACAGAATCTCACCCACCCACTCCTGTAATAATCCTCTCACCTATATCTCAGGTATTGCAGTCCTCAGATAATGGTTTAAAGACCCCAAGATGCAGAGAATCCTCCAGCAAGTGATCCGTGCCCCATGCTACAGAGGAAGGCGAAAAACCTCCAGGGCCTCAGCCAAACTACCCTGGAGGAAAATTCCGACCCCAAATATGGCGATCAGCTGAACCCTGATCATGTGGGCATGACTCACCAGCCAGACACCCAGGAAAATGTTCTCTATAGTAACTCCTTTCATCCCACGATTGGCCTATTTACCACCGATAGTGAAAGGTCAATTAGTTGCCAAGATCATGCTATCCCATCAAACCATTCCCTTCATAAACCTATCTAGCTTAATCTTGAAGCCAGATAGGTCTTTTGACCCCACTACTTCCCTTGGAAGGCTGTTCCAGAAGTTCACTCCTCTAATGGGTAGAAACCTTAGTCTAATTTTGAGTCTAAACTTCGTGATAGCCAGTTTATATCCATTTGTTCTTGTGTCCACATTGATATTGAGCTTAAATAATTCCTCTCCCTCCCTAGTATTTATTTCTCTAAAGGTATGTCTACACTACCACCCTACTTCGAACTAGGGTGGTTAATTTAGGCAACCAAAGTTGCAAATGAAGCCCGGGATTTAAATATCCCGAGCTTCATTTGCATCTTGCCGGGCGCCGCCATTTTTAAAGCCCCGGTAGTTCGGACTCCGTTCCACGTTCCACGAGGTGTACCAGTAGTTCGAATTAGAAAGCCTGGCAAGATGCAAATGAAGCCCGGGATATTTAAATCCCGGGCTTCATTTGCAACTTCGGTTGCCTACATTAACCACCCTAGTTCAAACTAGGGTGGTAGTGTA